GTACGGAAATCCCCATGAAGTTTTAAGGCAAGTTCGTTGATCTCTCGTACCAGGTATCCATTGCGCCCTTTATCGACATTGATCACCGACGTTAACTTCTGTATAAACATTCGTAGCGTGATAACCCACAAATTACCTCCTTTGACGCCTTCGACGTTGCACTTGAAATTTTTGGCCGCACCGATTAATCCTTCGGATATAAATCAAATTGAAGGAGCATACCCGCTCAAGCCGATATTTAGAAACCAGTTAGGGGATGTGAAATTTGATCCAGCCGTTGCTGTTGGAGGAAATGAGGGCGTCGCGGAAGTTATCGCCGTCGGAGAGAACGTCAAAGAAATTAGTGTCGGGGATTGGGTAATCATGGGTACAAGTGGTTTTGGCAAGTGTACTTTAATTTTTATTGATAATAATTGGTCATTCTTATTCAAATTCTAGCAAAGGTTAACCTTTTTTACCCAAAATAATGCGCAGGAACTTGGAGAACACATGCTGAAGCTACTCCCGAAGATGTCATCCGGATTCCTCGTGAAGGAATCGAACTAATTCAGGCCGCAACAGTTCGTGTTAACTCTTGTACCGCGTATCGCATGTTGAAAGACTTTGCGAAATTTAAAAAAGGTATTGTGATAATCTTTGAACTTGTATATCTTACCGTGACTTGAATTAGAAGTGACTTTTTCTTGTTCATCCATAGGCGATTATGTGATCCAAAATGGTGCGAATAGTGGTGTGGGTCAAGCTGTGATTCAGATTGCCAAAGCGTGGGGTATCAACACGATCAATATTGTCAGGGACAGGTAGTAAGGAGTCTTTCGTCTTATTTATGTGCACATTTTTCTCATTGACTAGTTATCGAGAATGTGATTTCGATTTGACACCAGACCGAACTTACGAGAGCTGTCAGATCACCTTAAATCCCTCGGTGCAACATATGTAGTCAGTGATAAAGATCTTCAATCGAAGAAACGGAGTGAATTCGAATGGAATACGGGCACCGACAATGGGGATATCGTTTTAGGATTAAACTGTGTCGGTGGGAAAAGCGTAATTCACATGGCGAAACTTCTGAAGTAAGTAACACATTGTTTCTGTGTTGTGCGAGGATGCACTTTTCTTTATCGACGATATTCATTCCGGATCAATGACAGGCACTCGAGTCCAGTAGTGACCTATGGTGCAATGTCACGACAGCCACTCACAATTCCGGCCTCTCAGTTAATATTCCAAAATTTAAAGTTTTATGGATTTTGGATGTCGCACTGGAGTCAAGTTAATCCTAGGGAAGCGAGGTTGCTGATGTTGAATGAGGTGATCGATTTGATCAAACAAGGAAAATTAGGTAGTGCCGTGTATGAGGAAAACTTGTGGGGTAAGGATGAGGACCATTATGGATTTCTGGAAATTTTAAAGAAGGCAGAGGAAGAGTTTAAGGGCAAAAAGCAGATTGTTAAGATGATTGATTAAAATGGTCCCTATCCCCTGATTCTCAAGATACCATTGTTCTATTGCGGTTCAAGTTTATGATACCTATATTTTCACTTTACATCAATACTTTGCCAATTAAATAAATCGATGATATGATGAAGCATGTCAACAATTTTTGATTTTATTTTATTTTTAAAATAATAATAATAATAATAATAATAATAATAATAATAAATAAATAAATAAATAAATATCCATCAATATGCACATGCAAAGTTACTCAACAATTTAGAATGAAAAGGTGCTAAATGTGCACTATACAGTAAGTATATGATTTTTGAGACTTGACTTGTCATATTTTGAAAAATAATAGAGTGAAATGCAATTTTACAAAATCATGATGGCCTAAATTTTTTAAACAAAAAGGCCATGGTAGTATCATTAAAAATCAGTGATCAAAGGACTGTCAAAAGAAAATTTTATTATATATTTACTGTGTATGGATTTTTTCTTTAATTAAATCGAATTATGAGAAAAATTGACAAATAAATGTCAATAAGCTCTATTACTAAATAAATAAATAAATAAATAATAAATAATAAATGATTAAATAAACAAATCTAAAATATAAAGGCAACTAACTGGATTTTATTTGATGACCTTACAATGATGATGATGATCATAAATTTGAGTCTACTATTGATGCTGAATGGTGAAAGATTTTCTTTATTGAAAATGACTACATGTGAGAATTTGGATATCCACCACTCTAGTTCTAATCTTCCTGTAAAATCAATTTCTCCCCATACACGGACTTTGCAAAATCATTCAAATTCCGATCTATGTATCCAAAATGCACCGGTTCATGCGGTGAAAATGTTTCTTCGCCTACGAAGGATACCGTGGAAACATCCTTTATGCGATCATCATAGTATGGCCTGATGACACGTTGAGATCGGATGTAAGATGCAAGCGCCGAGTCTATTGATCCCAGTGATACTATATCTCGATTCGTTTCAGGGAGCAACCTAATGATGTTACAGTCGTGTCGTTATACGAAAGGACGAAAGCGCGAAAACAATAGCGGAGTGGAACGAAACGAAATGGTACCAACCCGTCGCCACCATTAGCCATGAAATCGATGGTAATAACTTCGTAGACCTTTTTTGGATCCAAATATTCAAACACGTCCTCGCTATTTAAAATCTGCACCTCATGCACCCTGTCGTATAAAGGTTTTGTGCTATCATAGGCAAACCTAAGTCCCGAGATCTGAATGAAACTGGTGACCTTCCTTCCTGTTATCTTATTCACATTTCGACCGACAGCACTTTCTAAGAGGTCGGTAATATTATGACCGGTCAACTCAAATTTTACCAACTCATTACCAAATGGCAGAATTGTCAGTATATCATTAAGCGTGATGTTCCCTTTAGATATTCCAGCGCGAATTCCACCGGCATTAATAAACGCTGCATTGACCCTACCAAATTTTCGTGATGACCAGAGCATCGAGTCGGTTACCAAGTTACCCATAGTACACTCTCCGAACTGACATTTGGTTTGATCGAGTGCGAGTTCGGCAGATCCGACAACAGATTTCATATACTTTTCAAATGGTGCACGCCATTCCTTTACCAATTTTTCCACATCCGGATCTTGTGGGATAGATTGGTCGACGAGAATTGGGGCACCAGAGTAACCGACCAATTTACCTTCTTCATCGAAGGATACATCTAGTCGACCAATGTATTTCCCTGCCCAGAATGCCTAATACAATTTAGATGGCGGACAACCGCTCTATGGTATTAACATGTGCAAGATAAGTTAATTACCTGTACGATTAACGCATCTTCACCCTTAGCATTCTTCACGACGGTAGGGTACGGACCTCTTGAGAGCGGGAAATCTTTTGAATCTTTGTCGTTAGACAACAAAGTATGACTGTGTCCCCCCACGTGAACGGCAACTCCATACGTTTTTGCGGCCAACTCTTTGTCAGCGTCGTAACCATTATGTGAGATTGTTAAGATACGCTTGATACCTTTTCTTCGAAGTTCGTCAACATAATGCTGAACAACTGGAATCGGATCCTCGAATCGAAGCGTTGGACCGGAATTAGAGATGCCACCCGTGGTCTATTTTCAATAAGGCATCCGTTTAATTACCATTACGGTATATAATGATTTTACAAACGACATGTGCCCGTTGCATACATCCGTGATATAACCGATGACCGCAAGGTTATATTCTTCAAAGATATGATAAGGTTTGATGTATTGACCAAGTTTTGGATTTGATGATGTTGTATTGATGTTCGCGCATACTATCGGCATGGTTAATCGCGAAAGGTGAGAGGCGAGCGCATTTGGACCTTTGTCGAACTCATGATTTCCGATGGTCTAAAAATTAAACGATAATCATGACGGACGTAATTTATGGGAATTTGCAGTGAAAGTTGAAAAGAATCTTTACCGTAATATTATACTCGAGTAAATTCTATCATTACCAAAAAATTTTTCGGTTGAATATTTTGAGGGAGGTCAGTCTGAGAATGTGGTTGAATTGAATTGTTCGCCTTAAAAATTGTCAGACACTAACCATGACTTTGGAATTTATTGTGCCCTACGCGGCGAAGTAAAGAAAAATTATGATGACTCCTGGAAATCGCCAAAATCCGTAGAAAAATATTGCACGTACAGTATTATACTGTAATATTGGACTTACATTATAATAGGTGAAGAATAAAGTTACTAAAGGTGACGACAAGTTAACCAAACAAACCATTGGTGACCTCCATCATTGCGCAATAAGAAAATTTCAGCGCACCTTGAAATTCATCTCCTCCATCCAAGAGCAAGGAATTCTTGTTCTCTCTCCTCAATCGATCAATGAGGGTTTTGTGACGAGCTGTTCCTCCAAAACATTTTTTTTGCTCAAATTGTTCTTCGGTGCAATCGGTAGCTGCTTCGTCGATTTGATCGTAGCGTGAATGTATATCGTTCGTATGAATGATTGTTAAATTCCAAGGAACTTCTTTACAATCATCAAAATGTCGAAATGATGGACTGAACGCTAGATAGAATGTAGTGTGAAGTATGGTAACAAAAAAAACCGTTAGGATGAAAATTGTAAGCACGCTCGCCATCTTGGGAGAGACCCTCGGATTGAAAACGTGTGAAATATGACGTATGTGTTTATGCAAGATGCGGGTACGCACGTACGCATGCGCATCACTCCTTTGATGTGCAGATTGCAAATGATTCGTTCAAAAGTCAGATTATATTTTTTCTTAACTTGGTGATTCAAAAAAAGACTCAATCCGATATACAGTATATACTGTGCATATATTTTTTTCTCATCTATCAACGAAATAAGGAAGGCATCCTGCATTGATTGCTTTTAATAAACCTGCATTGCGCCGAAACGGTTTGTCTTATTTTACTTTGATCAGATTCCTAAAAACTAGAAACGGTTCTTTATTGTGTTACGCCAGTACCATTGATATCACAGCCTATCATAGATGCACCCTCCAATGCAGAATGAGCGACCTCGACCCTAAGAGCGGTGTCCTAATCGGGAAGTCTATTCAAAGGTGGTTTGGTGCATGATGGCACGAGAAAGGTGGTTGGTAATTTTCTTCTCGAACCATCGATCCAAAAATTCATCACGCAGTATTAGAATAAAATGAATAATTTAATGACACTGATGACTTCTTCTTTTTAAAATAAATGACTTTTTAAGATAATTTTTAATTTTTGGACAATCAAACTACGGCGGTAAATTTTTATTTTATTTTAATACTTGTGTAAAGTTACTGTATTATTAGACTCGATGCATTCCGATTTCACGGTGAACCGTAGAATGTTGCAAAACATTTCGATGATAATTAATATTTTATTGAGTTGCTAAAATTATATTACAAAGGCGATTTCATAAAGAATGTACAAAAAAAGATGATTGGTTTAATCTTAAAAGTTTTCTTGAAGAATTATTTCATAATTCCCATAGCATACGGTGCGGTGGATAAAGATTAAACTTGTTTTTTACATGAGGTTATGTTCTTGAAGGGAGAATTAAACTTTAACGCGTGCGCAGTCATATAGCTGGTGTGCGGCGGCTTTGGCTGACTTGACGAGCATTTGAGAATCGACATTTTGCAAAGGGAAGAATAATGATAAATAGAGGGCTTCTTGTGCCGCGGTTTCTCGAACTAGGCTAACTAGGTAGGAGTGATTTTCCTGTGGATCATTGGAACAGAAACTCGTTGGCAAGCACGGTTCCGAATTATGTTGCCTCACGGCCTAATTATTTGCAAAGAGAGTTGAGTAAAGAAAGCTTGCATGGCGGATCGAAATCAAGAATCAATCGATGAACGGGAAAACCCACCTTAAAGGCTGCAGCACTCGCAATCGTTGCTAAGGAAATGGGTAGTTTCGGATTTGGTCCGTTCACATAAATTTGATTATAATGTTGCTCCATTTGTTCTAAAAGGGAAGTTTAAAATTTTAGCAAAAAAAAAAAAAAAAGATTTTTTCTTTTTTCGACGCTAACCAAAGTTGATGAAAAACAACTACCTAGATTGTATTGGGAAGAAGTATTTCCGGTCATTTTGTAAGGCTTTTATTTTATTATTATTATTGTTGTTGTTGTCGTTGTTGTTGTTATTGAGCTTAATGTAAAAAGAAACGATGGATATTTGACGTGGTTGTTCGAGTCGCGGCCTTTCAAGAAGTTTTTTTTTCAGTCGAAGCTTTAACCGTTTCAATGGGTGAGAAGAAATGAATGACGACGAAGACAGTCTCTTTTATACCATTTTTTTGCCATCCTTTTAGACTACAATACTGGCTTTACACTCGATTGCATAGTTCATTGGTGGAAACACGTGTTGCACAAATTTAACCCTTTATGTAAATACATTATTTGAAATGTTTCCCATTTTTTAACATTAAACAACAACGAATGATTGTTACAATTTAATATATAGAATGTTCTATGATAATAATTAATTTTTAGAGAAGGTCAAAGTGGCCCGATTAGGTTGTGGCGTTATCCCATGTAAGGTGATTTTTGTTTCGCCACAAATGGAAATAAAAAATGATGATGAGAAAGAATAGTCACGCAATGTGTGTATTGAGAATTATGTCTGAGAAAAAAAAAATCATCCCTTCCTAATTTCCTTTATTTGTTGTACCCGATAAATTATGCATGATTTTTGTGGGGTTGAGAACCTTTGAATGTACTGTACATATTAGTGTTTGATCAATGTTTATTAAGAATAGCTACTACATTCATAGGTGCGAATATGCTATATACAACCGACTTGCCCCAGCCGCCGCTGTTTGAGTAACAATGTCAGGATCTGTACCAGATAATGGATACTGTTCTAGTAAGAACGAAGCCTCTTTTTTGGCGTCATCTTCTAGTTGTCTTTTATTGTTAGACACGTTATGTGCTACGGCCTGTCATCATCATAAATAAATGACGACATGAGCGAAAAATGGTAACAGGTCGAGCGAAGCGAGAGATTTTTATTACCTTGAAAGCCGCGGCACCGGCAACTGAGGCGGCTGAAGGCGAGATTTTAGGATTTGTGCCATAAATTTCGTTGTAATACCTTTCCATTTGTTCTACAGCGTGTAAACCGAATAAATGATGAGCCAACATTTGGAATAAATAAGACGACCAAAAAAGAAAAAATTTAACAACTTTTGTTCGAGCCAAAAGGCTTTGGTTGGTAAGCATAGGACCCGTGGGTGTTACGACCATAGGCTAATTCGTTTGAGAACATTTCGAAGTGTGTGAATCGATTCTTTTTGTATCTCAAGGGTTTCTGTGTTTAATTTGTTCTGAAAGTTCGTCCTTTTTATAAGAATTTTCCACCAACCTCTGTTATATGGATGATACATTTCTTTGTTTCTGATTCTCTCCCATTGAATGAGGCCATTCATCCATTCATTGATACCTTGCTGAAATTCTCTTTGAAGTAAAATCTCCTTTAACACACGATATGATAGAATATTGATCCTATTTCCAAAATGAGATGCGTGGGAGTCATTCTAGCAGGCATCAATGGAATTGTGCACGTAAAAAAAGGCATGACCCAATTTTCACACGACTAATTGCATTTATACTTTCATTATCGAATAAGTTCAAAAGGCTTAGAGAAAGAATCAACATTATGATCACACGGTCGCTTTTCCACAAATCAAACAACAACTTCGTGGTTCACGTGATTTTTGTGTTCCCCCCCAGACGCGGATGTTACTAAATTTAGGGATGGTTAAAAGACACTAGTTGTGTATTGAGAAAATTCAGTCGGAGTTATAAAATTATATTACAATATTTTGTAACAATATCGTAAGTTAAATATTATACAGGATTTGGCAATGATCTCCAAAAGCGGAATATAGCATAGGGATCGAAAAGTGGTATACACTTTCAAAAACAATCGTTTTCGTAAATCATATGAAAAACCAAATACGGACAAAAGTAATATATAGATTTGTACAATTAACGAAAAATCTGGACTTAAGTTTATTATCTTGTTTACATTCCGCAAAAGATTGCTAAAAGCAAAAGGACTTTAATATACAGTATGCTGCTGTATACTGCATATACGGTATGTTATTTCTTTGTGAAATAACTTATTAAACAAATTAAAAAATATTCTTCTTTAATAATGCTTTTAAAAATTTTGTTTACATATACTGTATATGTGTTGTATATTTTAACTTTTAAATTTAATATATTATTAACTTCGTTTGAAATTGCAGTAAAACTATTTTTTTAAATCAGAAAAATCATCTACAACAACTTATTGCTACAAAACTTTCAAAATTTTGTTTGCAAACTAAAGTTTACCTATTTGTATCTTCTAAAAATCCATTCTTCTATAATTTTAAATATATTTTATTAGCATTATATTGATGATTTTTTTAAAAAACTTTATTAATTTGATTAATTTACTTATGTTTTTAAAATTTTCTTTTCTTTATATTGAAAAATTTGAACAATAGAATATTTCAAAGATATTATACAATAAAAAAATGATAATAAATAAAAAATAATTTTTTTTTCAAAATATCATATATTATAGTATTCTATAAAGTTATATTAATTTTTTTTTAAAAAAAAATACTTCAATAAAGAATATATTTTAAAGTATTATATTACAATAATCTACTAGGTAGTTCGAATAAAATGGTATTTTCGAATTTCTTAAAAAAGTTTTTTAAAAAAATAAAAGAATACTTTAAAATACTTAAAATTATTTATAAAAATTATTGTTTAAAAGATGTTTTTATTAAAAAATTT